AAAAAAAAAAGAAGAGAAAAGAAAAGACCTTCCCATCACCAGCACTTTGGGATGCTGAGATAGGAAGATCACCTAATTAAGTCACCTTTCGAGCTGTTCTCTATGACCCCTTCTCTGCTTACCCCCCACCAGCAGACCTGGTCCCCTGTCACAGAAGCTAGGGTCACATTCCCTACCTGTGTCTCTGCAGATCTGGGCTCCCCCGTGCTAGTTGCCTTCTGCCTTCTCAGGGTGGTAAGAAGGTACTCCCTACACACATCCCTTCCTGAGGAAATCTGTCCTTGCCTAGAGCTCTAATACAGTGTTCCGGGCTCCATCCCTAGAGGTGCTGATTCAGCAGGGTGGGGTGAAGCCCGTGAATGTGCATTTCTAACAATGCTGGTGCAGAGAACTCACCTTGAAAACCACTACCTTACACCAGGGATAAGCCCAGGTAGCTGTGTTTGTGCTAAGGGAGCTTGGCCCCCACAGACTGAGCCAAAGGTGTGTGGCTGACCATGAAGCCAACCAAATTTTCTCTCCTTGAAATGTGAGATGGGGACACTGGGAAACTGAACTAGACAGGAAGAGCTGAGTTGAGAGGTCCTAGAGTTGGCCACAGAGAAAGCCACTTTCACACTACAATATAGTCTTTTATTTTATTTTATTTTGTTTTGTTTGAGATGGAGTCTCACTCTGTTGCCTAGGCTGGAGTGCAGTGGTGTGGTCTCGGCTCACTGCAACCTCCGCCTACTGGGTTGAAGTGATTCTCCTGCCTCAGCCTCCTGAGTAGCTGGGATTGCAGGCATGTGCCACTACGTTTGGATAAGTTTTGTGTTTTTAGTAAAGACGGGGTTTCACCATGTTGACCAGGCTGGTCTTGAACTCCTGGCCTCAAGTGATCTACCCGCCTTGGCCTCCCAAATTGCTGGGATTACAGGTGTGCACCACCGCTCCCAGCCAAATTTGTGATATTTTCAAAATGAAAGAAAGTTAACTTTTAAGCAGTGGTATAAATTGCTGAACACTTGATGTTAGCCTCTTTCATGGTGCATAAGCTGTATTTTTTTTATTGCCATTGCCACAGGACCATGGTGCATACGCTGTATTAAATTTGAAATTTACACTACAAAAATAGCTTTGCAGGAGTATGACTATTAATATAACCTTACCTCAGACAGATTTTTTTATTACTAGAGACAACTCTTATATGTAAAAATATATATTAATGCCTAGAGCAGAAGAAAAATGCCAACCACAGATGGTAAGCATTTTCTTGGAAAGTCACATCAAATTTTGACATTAGCCCTAGAAAATAGAAAAATGTTTTAAACAAAAGCTTTGAAATATTCTGATAACCATGTGTAGATTTTCTTTTTTTTTTTTAATTTTACATAAATTAATCCATTTATTATAGGCCAGTGATGTCTCAAAGAGTAGAGGAGCGTCTACTGGTCTTTCAATTCCTTCAGTCTTCTGATGGCGGACTTTACTGTGACAGCGGAAGTGGTATTGTACGTCCAGGCACCGCCAACCACTGTCTTCATGCAGGAACCACAGTGCCAGATGCCCACAGCTCGTCTCTTCATCTTGGTTTTGCCACAGAAAGAGCAAGTGTACTTGGCATGCTGGCTGATTTCAATTTTCTTCACCATTTTCCGGAGGGAGGCCCCATAGCGGGTCCCGTATTTACCGACGATCCCAACCTTCTTGGCACGTTTGGCCATGTTGCTGGTCCGAACCCAGAAAAAAAGCGTAGATTTTCACTTATGGTCTCAGATGTTATCATAAAGAATACAACTTTAAAGCCAGGCGTGGTGACTTACGCCTGTAATCCCAGCACTTTGGGAGGTTGAGGCAGGTGGATCACAAGGTCAGGAGTTCGAGACCAGCCTGACCAACATGGTGAAACCCCATCTCTACTAAAAATACAAAAAAAAATTAGCCAGGCATGGTAGCGTGTGCCTGTAATCCCAGCTACTCAGGAGGCAGAGGCAGGAGAATAGCTTGAACCCAGGAGGCAGAGGGTACAGTGAGCTGAGATTGTGCCACTGCACTCCACCCTGGGTGACAAAGTAAGACTCCATCTCAAAAAAAAAAAAAAAAAAAAAAAAAAAAACAAAAAAAAAAAAAAAAAAAAAAAAAAAGAAATACAACTTTAAGTGATTAGTAAAATACATTAATGAAAAAGTTTAAAACTTTTGGTCGGGCGGGTACAGTAGCTCACATCTATAGTCCCAGAACTGTGGGAGGCCAAGGCAGGAGGATTGCTTGAGCTTAGGAGTTTGAGACCAGCCTGGGCAACGTAGTGAGACCCTGCCTCTTAAAAAAAAGGAAAATCAGCAGAGTGCATTGCCATATGCCTATAGTCTCAGCTACTCAGGAAACTGAGGGGGTAGGATTGCTTGAGCCTGGTAGGTTGAGGCTGCAGTGACCCATGATCATGCCACTGCACTCCAGCCTGGGCAACAGAGTCAAACCCTGTCTCAAACAAACAAAAAACATTTACTTAGAAAATGCTATTGAACAAGCTGCTGTTATAGCATTTCACTGGATAGTTCAATTAAATGGTATTTATGGAAAAAGATTAATTTTACTGGTTTAAAATAGGTGGTGTCACTATATTTGAGACAGGTGCCTAAAACAAAGATTTGATAAAACACGAAGAAGTCTCTTGAAAACAAATTAGAAGTCATAAGGGAATAAAAAGGATTTGAAAAGATTTTCTGCAATTTTTATACCCATCAAAGGCATGTGTATGCACAATTTCCTTTGGAAGTAGATTTCCATTTTAGGAAGAGAGTAAAGGGTGAATTCCCTAGGAATTATCTCTCTCTCTTTTTTTTTTTTTTCTGAAAAATATATCTAAAAGTGTTGCTGTGACAAAGCAATTGGGTACATTTAATGCTGAAAGTTTCACTTTCCTTAATACTGTCACTTAGAAGAGTGCAATTGCTTTTGCTGTTGCTGTTGGCTTAGAACAACACACATTTCTTCTCTTTACAGTTCTGGAGGTCAGAAGTTTGAAAATGGGCCTCATTGGGCTAATATCACGGTGTCAGCAGGGCTGCTTTCCTTCCGGGGGTTCTAGGGTACAATCTGTTTCCTGCCTTTTCCAGTATGTAAAGGCCACCTACATTCCTTAACTCATGGCCCCTTCTTTCACCTTGAAAGCCAGCAGCATAGCATCTTAGTATCTTCCATTTTTTTTTGGAGACAGAGTCTCACTCTGTCACCCAGGCTGGAGTGCAGTGGTGCGATCTCGGCTCACTGCAACCTCTGCCTCCCAGGTTCAAGGGATTCTCTTGCCTCAGCCTCTGGAGTAGCTGGGATTATAGGCACACCCCATCATGCCTGGCTAATTTTTGTATTTTTTAAAAATAGAGATGGGGTTTTACCATGTTGGCCAGGCTGGTCTTGAACCCCTGACCTCAAGTGATTCGCCTGCCTTGGCCTCCCAAAGTGTTGGGATTACAGGCGTGAGCCACTGTGCCTGGCCAAGAGTGCAGTTCTTAAAATGTGGTCCCTGATGAGCAGCATCACCTGGGATTTTAGATATGCAATTCTAGAGCCCCACCCTAGACTGTCCCTCTGAGAAACTCTGGAGCTGGGACACAGCAGTCTGTTTAGCAAGCTCTCCCGGTGATTCTGATGCAGGCGGAAGTTTGAGAACCGCTGGGATAGCTGTTTCCAAACTTGGTTGTTCGTTAGAGTCCCCTCTGGAGCTTTTATAAATACTTCTCAGCCTGACCACAGAAAATTTGGATGCAGTTGGTCTGGGATGGGGCTAGGAACCTGCATGTTCAACCACAGATGGCCTGGGTTTGGGAGCCATTGGTTAAAAAGCATCATTACTAGCACTTTGGGAGGTCAAGGCGGGCAGATCATTAGGTCAGGAGATCGAGACCATCCTGGCTAACACAGAGAAACTCCATCCCTACTAAAAATACAAAAAAAATTAGCCAGGTGTGGTGATGTGCACCTGTAGTCCCAGCTACTCGGGAGGCTGAGGCAGAAGAATGCTTGAACTCAAGAGGCAGAGGTTGCAGTGAGCCGAGATGGCGTGACTGTACTCTAGCCTGGGAAACCTTTCCCTCCTTCTCTCCTTCTGTCCGTCCTTCTTTCTCATAAAAATTACCTTTCATGAGACTTTCCTTTAGTTATTGTAATTTTCCATCTCAGTAACCAGTAACTTCAAGGCCTAGTGCAGTGCCTGATATACCTAAATTAATAAATGCTGGTGCTCACGCCTGTAATCCCAGCACTTTGGGAAAGGCGGGCAGATCACCTGAGGTCAAGAGTTTGAGACCAGCCTGGCCAACATAGCAAAACCTCATCTCTACTAAAAGCACAAAAATTAGCTCGGGGTGGTGGCAGGCACCTCTAATCTCATCAGTTACTGGGGCAGGAGAATCGCTTGAACCTGGGAGGTGGAGGTTGCAGTGAGCCAAGATTGCACCACTACACTCCAGCCTGGGTGTCAGAATGAGTCTGGGGAAAAAAAAAAAAAAAGAAATGAGGGATATATATCCTACAGACATTATAACTGTTGTGCCATTGCACTCCAGCCTGAGTGACAGAGCGAGACTCCGTCTAAAACAAAATGGTGGCTAAATGAATCTCATGGTAATATTTTGATGAGTAAAGAATGATCCTGGCCGGGCGCAGTGGCTCACACCTGTAATGCCAGCACTTTGTGGGCGGATCACCTGAGGTTGGGAGTTCAAGACCAGCCTGACCAACACGGAGAAACCCCATCTTTACTAAAAATACAAAATTAGCCAGGCATGGTGGTGCATGCCTATAATCCCAGCTATTTGGGAGGTTGAGGCAGGAGAATCACTTGAACCTAGGAGGCAGGAGAATCACTTGAACCCAGGAAGCGGAGATTTTGGTGAGCTGAGATTGTGCCATTGCACTCCAGCCTGAGCAAAGAAAAAAAAAGAATGGTCCTGTTTTCACGTCCAATGCTATTTTACTTTTCTCAAAGACTTCTACACCTGAATGTATATAATTGATTTTATATAAGATTCCTATCCTTTAATTTTCTGCTTTATCTTTCCCAAGCTCCAGCTATTGATATGGTAATTCCCTACATGTTGCCATTATAATGTACATATATCCCCCTTTGGAGACATAACCATATCCCCATGGGAAGAGAAACATATATACTTTCTTTTCTTCTTCTTTTTTAAAGGTTTCTAACCCAATCATCTCTGAAATCTGAGCCTGGACTAGTTGAGGCCACTTACCTAAGAGAGGCCTTCGAAATGACTTTCTTACTAGCCGTACTGTGTGTGTGTGTTTTTGAGGCAGGGTGTCACTCTGTTGTCCAGGCTGGAGTGCAATGATATAATCATGGCTTGCTGCAGCCTTGACCTCCTGGGCTCTAGTGATCCTCCCACCTTGGCCTCCCAAAGTGCTGAGATTATAGGTGTTAAGCCACCACGTTTGGCCCCTATTCTATTTTTTCTTTAATTTTACTTCATTTTAAACATTTAGTTACTTTAAAAAGATAAATATTTACAGTCAATTTCAAATAATATTTAACATGGCAAGGAAAACAATAAAATGAGCATCCACATACCTTCTTTAAAGAATACCATTACCGATATAATTATCATTGACTTTCTTTTTTCTTTCTTACTTTTTTTTTTTTTTTTTGAGATGGAGTCTTGCTCTGTGGCCCAGGCTAAACGGCAGTGGTGTGATCTCAGCTTACTGCAACCTCTGACTCTTGGGTTGAAGCAATTCTCCTGCCTCAGCCTCCCGAGTAGCTGGGATTACAGGCACCTGCCACCACGCCTGGCTAATTTTTGTATTTTTAGTAGAAATAGGGTTTCACCATGTTGGCCAGGCTGGTCTTGAACTCCTGACCTCAAGTGATACTTTTGGGCAGCCGACTTGGCCTCCCAAAGTGCTGGGATTATAGGTGGTGAGGCATGGCACTCGGCCTTCTTTTTTTTGAGACAGTCTCAGTCTGCTGCCTAGGATGGAATGCAGTGGTGCTGGAATGCAGTGGCGTGATCATGGCTCACTGCAACCTTGACCTCCATGGGCTCAGGTGATCCTCCTATCTCAGCCTTCAGGGTAGGTGGGCCTATAGGTACATGCCACCACTCCTGGCTAAGTTTTTGTAGATGTGGGGTATAGCCATGTTGCCCAGGCTGGTTTCAAACTCCTGAGCTCAAGTGATTCCTCTGCCTCAGCCTCCCAAAGTGCTAGGATTACCATGCATGAGTCACCATGCCCAGCCCCTGAATGGTTTTCAAGCATTATTCTTATGTGAATATTTGTTTTAAAAAACAGGATTTAAACTTACAGGAAAGCCTAAATATAAACCTCTGCACGTTAACCCTATATACATTTTTCTATGCTGTCACATATTTGAATGTACTGCTTTAAACTTCAAAACAAGCAGTCTCCCCAGGTCTCCCATCATGTTTCGAAATCCGAACTTCCATTACCTAATACAAGGCTACAAATTCTGTTATTTGGGTTGTTGGGAACAAAGTGTGTGCTATGAAAATAAGGCAAATGTGAATGTGTACCTCAGTTTGCTATGTTTTTTGCCACAGTTTGGCCTATTAAATTGTGGTAGCAGCTATTGTTCACATTGATGTATCAAATTGACATTGATATTGTTCACATCATATGGGCATGGGGGAGAGAGAAAGGGAGGCAAAGGGAGAAAGAGACAGAGAGAGAGCCACAGAGCAAGTGAGTGCCCAGACGGCAGGAGAGAGTTACATCCCATTGCCCCAGAAGGAAGCTGGGAGCTTCTAAGGGAGGCTGTGCCCCTCACTCACGTATGTATTTGTAGTACAAGGGAGCATTTCTAAGGGACCTTGTTCATTGCTTTGCACAAAATCATGCAGACTGTGTTCTCTGGTCACAATGGAATCAAACTAGAAATCAGTAACAGAAAGATAGGAGAATATCAAAACACTTCTAAATAATCCATTGGTGAAGGAGGAAGTATTAAAGAGCAAAAATACAGAATTTGTGGGACATGGCTAAAGGAGAGCTGAGAGGGAAATTTATAACAATTAATGTATATATTAGAAAAGAAGAAGAGTTGCCAATAAATAATCTAAGCTCCTGCCTCAAGAGCCTAGAAAAAGAAGAGAAAAATACATTCAAGGCAAAAAGGAGAAAGAATATAGTAAAGACAAGTGAATATATCAAATTAATTGAATATAGAACCTAATCCATAAAATCAATACAATAATTTGATTTTTTAAAAGGATAAAATAATTGGCAAACCTCTTACAGGGAGAAAAAAAGAAACCAATTACTAGTGTTACAAAATAAAATGAAATGGGGTGGGTGTGGTGGCTCACGCCTGTAATCCCAGCACTTTGGGAGGCTGAGGTGGGTGGATAACTTGAGGTTAGGAGTTGGAGACCAGCCTAGCCAACATGGTGAAACCCTGTCTCTATTAAAAATACAAAAAATTAGCCAGGTATGGTAGCGGACGCCTATAATCCCAGCTACTTGGGAGGCTGAGGCAGGAGAATCACTTGAACCTGGGAGGCAGAGGTTGCAGTGAGCCGAGGTTGAGCCACTACATTCCAGCCTGGCCAACAGAGTGAATCTCAGGAAAAAAAAAAATGAGGGATATATATCCTACAGACATTATAACTGTCTGTAGTATATATATTCCACAGACATTAAAAAGATAAGGAAATACTAAAACTAATTCTACATAAATTCAACAACTTAGATGAAATGGACCAAGTCCTCAAAAAAATGAAAATAATCTACCACAATTCCTCCAATACGTAATGGATGATAAGAACAGCCTTATGGCTATTAAGAAAACTAATTTTGTAATTAAAAAATTCACAAAAAAGAGGTCTCCAGACCCAGATGATTTCACTAGAGAATTCTACCAGTTAAAAAATAATTAACACCAATTCTACCCAAACTCTTTCAGAAAATAGAAGAGAACATTGCTCAATCATTTTAAGAAGTTAGTATTTACTCTGACACCAAAATCAAAGAAAGCACACACAAAAAAGGAGAAAACTGCCAACCAATATCCATCATAAAGATGCAAAAATCCTTAACAAAATATTAGCAAATAGAATTAATCAATATACGAGAATTACACAACAGGACAAAGTGGAGTTTATTCCAAGGATGCATAGCTGACTTGATATCTGAAAATTAATCAACACAGTCTACTGTACTAAAAGGCTAAAAAGAAAAAGAATCATGTCAATTAATTTCAGAAAAAAGTAACAAAATTCAACAACTCATAATAAAATTTAAATAAAATAGGTATTATGGGGAGAATTTCCTCAAAAAAAAAACAAAAAAATTAAAGTTAACATTATAAAGTGCTGGGATTACAGGTGTGAGCCACTGCACCTGGTCTTTTTTTTTTTTTTTTTTTTGACACAGAGTCTCAGTCTGCTGCCCAGGATGGAATGCAGTGGCGTGATCACGGCTCACTGCAACCTTGACCTCCATGGGCTCAAGTGATCCTCCTATCTCAGCCTTCCGAGTAGCTGGGCCCATAGGTGCATGCCACCACTCTTGGCTAAGTTTTTGTAGATGTGGGGTATCACCATGTTGCCCAGGCTGGTTTCAAACTCCTGAGCTCAAGTGATTCCTCTGCCTCAGCCTCCCAAAGTGCTAGGATTATAGGCATGAGTCGCCACGCACAGCTCTTGAATCGTTTTAAAGTTTTAAAGTATTATTCTCATCTGAATGTTTGTTTTAAACAATAAGATTTAAACTTACTGGAAAGCCTAAATACAAACCTCTGCACATTAACACTATATACTTGTTTCTATGCTGTCACTTACATATTTGAATGTTCTGCTTTAAACTTCAAAATAGCAGTCTGTCTCCATCACATTCTGAAATCCTAACTTCTGTTACCTAATACAAAGCTACAAATTATGTTAGTTGGGTGACTGGAACAAAGCGTGTGCCATAAAAATAAGGTAAATGTGAATATGTACATCAGTTTGCTAAGTTTTTTGCCACTGTCTGGCCTCTTGAATTGGGGTAGCAGCTATGTTCACACTGATTCATACATATTTGTAGTACAAGGAAGCATTTCTAAAGGACCTTGTTCACTGCTTTGGACAAAATAACCCATTAATATTTGTTAAATGAATTGCTGTCACTATCTCTGGCATTTTTATTTTTTTTATTTGTGTATTTATTTTTGACATGAAGCCTTGCTCTGTGGCCCAGGCTGAAGTGCAGTGGTGTGATCTCAGCTCACTGTAACCTCCCAGGTTCAAGCAATTCTCGTGCCTCAGCTTCCCTAGTGGCTGGGACTACAGGCATCCACCATTATGCTCGGCTAATTTTTTTTTTTTTTTTT